CGTCGTCGTTGTTGTTGTTGTTGTTGTTGTTGTTGTTGTTGTTGTTGTTGTTGTTGTTGTTGTTGTTGTGTGTGTGTGTGTACGTCGTTGTATTGTGTTTGTGTGCTTTTGTGTACGTCGTTGTTGCGTTTGCATGTTGTCACGTCTTTGTACGTGATTGCGGGGTGTATATGAGCGCTTGATGAGTCCGCAATTGCCTTGTGCATGTTGCTGTTCATGACGCTGTGCTTTGCTGTGTTTCTGTGCATTGCATTCTGCGCATCTGTCCTCATTGCCGCTGCTTATCACTTTGGCTCAGGTTTTGGATCGCTGTTGCGTGCGCTCGGAAACCGACGCTCAAACGCCGAAACAGACAACATTGAGGTGTGTCCACTGTGTGCATATCTGCATGCCTTTGCTCTCGTCTGTGTGGTGGGTGGGTGGGTGGGTGATGAATGTTTGTGTTTGAATGTGTGTGTTTGTGTTGAATGTGTGTGTGTGTGTGTGTGTTGCGTGCAAGGCATGCCACACTTTCACTTGATGTGTACACCCCTTTTTTGTCGCGGGAAATCTTATCAAGCAAACGCACACGCACACGCACGCATGTCCACGCACACACACGCGCGCGCGCACACACACAAATTTCGCTCGCTCGCTTGTGTACCCTGGCCGTAGGCGTGCCGTGACTTGTCTGGACGTCGCCTTCGCCACGTTCACGACGAGAAGGCGTAAGCGGAAGACGCGCCCTGACAACTTTTTCGTTGACTGTGCAACATGTGTGCTGAATATGCCATCCCACATTCACACAAGCTCATTCATGCCTTCATCCACGTTTCACGGTTGCATGTTTGCTTCCACTCACACGTGCACCTCACATCACAACGCATTCACACTTACTCACACATGCACACACATGCACACACGCACACACACACACATGTAGGGTGAACGAGTGGCTGGCGCAGAGCGAGGAGCGAAAGGAGGAGGCAGCGCGCCGCCGCCGGGCCAAGCTTGAGCGCGACATTGCGCCGCCCAAACACACGTTTGACCGCCACTCCCTTGCCATTGAGCTGCAGGAGCAGGCCATGTCTGTCAGCGCAGCCGTCGGCACAGGTGATCCCGCTTAACCAAGGCAGGGGGGATGGGAAGCATTGCTTGCTTAAAGGGATGTGTGCATGTTTGTCTGTGTCTGCTCGTGTATGTCTGTCTCTGTCTCTGTGTGTTTCTGTGTGTTTCTGTGTCTGTGTCTGTATGTGTCTGTGTGTCTTGTTTTTTTTTTTGTTTTTTGTTTTTTTTTTGTTGTTGTTGTTGTTGTTGTTTTGTTCTGTGACTTGTGAATGAAGGTACTGCTTGTCCCCTGTGCTCCAACGCCCCCCTCCCTTTTTCCCACACCTCATCATCCCTTTTCCACACACCACATCACCGCACCCGAACCCGCACCTTCGCAGCGATTACCAAGAAGACAGTGGATGAGATGTACCCGCCCAACGTCGGGGGCAGCGGCAAGAAGAATGTGGCCACAAAAGGTGACACTCCACACAAGCCCGCCGCAGGCAACGCCGCACGCCGCACAGCCTCGGCACGCCGCGGCGTTGCACTCAAGTGCGTGTTGGTGTATGGGTGTGGTTGTGTGTGGGTGTATGTGGCTGTGGGTGTGTGGGTGTATCTGTGTGTCTGTGCGTGTGCATCTGTGCATGTGCGCATGTTTGTGTAACGGTGCCTGAAATGTGCACTGTGCGCGTGCTTATGAGTGGGTGGGCTTGATCAGTCGCTTGCTCTGCCTGGATGAGTTTGATTTGCCAGTCTGCTTTTCGATCACCATCCACCTCACCACCTCACAACCTCACCACCACCTGCTCACCCATTTCGTTTTTGTTGCAGAGATGAGTGGGACTCTGAGACGACTGATGACGCCGCTACAGATGACGAGGAGCTGGCGGCAAAGCGCAGGAAGCACATGGATGCCGTGGAGGCAAGGCTGCAGAAGATCAAGGCAGCGCACGCAGCGGCAGCAACGGCGCCAAGCACGAAGAAGGGTGAGGATAAGGGCACCACCGATGCGCAGAAGGAGCACAAGAAGGACAAGGAGGAGGACGACGACGAGCGCAAGGAACAGGGGAAGGAAGAAGCCAAGCAGCGCAGCAATGCTGATGAAGAGGACAAGGAGGAGGACGATGATGGTGAAAGCAGTGATTGATACATCATGTCACTTTGTTGGGTCGTTGTTTGATTGCTGATTGTTGAATATGGGTGCGTAGTGCGTGCACGTGTGTGTGTGTGTGTGTGTGTGTGTGTGTGTGTGTGAGTTTGATGTCTTTTTCGAAAGCACAAAGTACAACCACGAACAAAAACGAGTTAGCAAGCAAGCCAAGTGTGCCACTGCTGCACCAAAGGCTCACACACACACACACACACACACACACACACACACACACACACACACACACACACACACACACACACACACACACACCACACCACACCACACAACAGGTCATGCGACACACGACAGACAAAAAAAGGCAGGAGCTGGCCACTGCACCATTTTCCCACACGAAGTTCTGTGGATGTTATGACCATTCGTCCTCCTGCCACGGTGGCAACCCGCATTTCGCGTGTTTGTGTATATCACGCGCCAAGTTTCTACAGCCCGAAAGCTGAACATTCCGTCAACCGCTTTGTTTCTCGCTTCCCTCCACCACTGCCACTCACTCTGTCTCTGACCAACCACCACCCCCCTATCGTTGCCGCCATGAGTACGTAGCACTGCGTGTTGTCGATGACGCTGATGGCGCGATGGAGATGCGATGGAGATGCGATGGAGATGCAATGAAGATGCAATGAAGATGTGTGCGGATGGAAGGAGGGACAAGCACAACAATGAGCGTGTCTTGAACAGTGTCAACAAGCCCGTGTGTGAATGTGTGTGTGCGTTTCCTTGTGTGAATATGTCAGCAGCCCCTCTGTTTATTTTGTGTGTCTGTGTGTGTCTGTGTTTGTGTGAGTCTTTGCGTGGGTGTGGGTGTGTGTGTGTGTGTACACACAAAGTGCAGGATCGCCCACCCATGCACCGATGAAGCACACGCACGCACGCACGCACGCACACACGCACGCACACACGCACACACACATGACGCTCGTACACACATGAACGCCGCCATCGACATGTGTATGCTGCCACGATGCACATCCCTCACCGTTCTTGTGCTGGCAACTGCTTGCCTTTCCCCTTTTTCGCTGCATGCAGCCCGTTTCTTGGATGTGATCAAGCCCCTGCTGGCCTTTGTGCCAGAGGTGCAGAAGCCCACAAAGGAGATCCAGCCCAAGGACAAGCTTCTCTGGACCGCCGTCACCCTCTTCATCTTCCTCGTCTGCTGCCAGGTACAGACTGCACTGACATGCTTGCACGCTCCTCTGTTCTTGCTTGCATGCTGATCAAGGCCTGTCGTGCGTGTGCGTGTGTGTGTATGTACATGCTTGTTGTTGTTGTTGTTGTTGTTGTTGTTGTTGTTGCTGCTGTTGATGCTGTTGTTGTTGTTGTTGTTGCTGCTGCTAGCGTCACTGTTTTCGTTGCTGCTTCCGCTGCAACGTGCATTTGACGCTTGGAACCACTGCCTCGCTTACACACTCACTCACTCACACACCCTCCCCCCCCCCGTAGATCCCCCTCTTTGGCATCATGTCCTCCAGCAGCGCTGATCCTTTGTACTGGATGCGTGTCATCCTCGCGTCCAACCGAGGTTCGCTCACCCGTACATGGTGTTTTCAATGCAGTGTGCGCTCTCACACACTCGTGTGCAAAACAGTCTCAGAGCTACGACACTCTTTCCGTGCCAATGTCCCCCAGCTGTCGTGGCGCTTTGGCCGTGTGTGTGTGTGTGTGTTTGCATGCATAACTTGCTCCGTTGTGCTTGTTTGGCTCTACTCGCTTCTCACACATCCCCTCCTCTACTCTCCTCTCGTTCCTCCCCCCCCCCCCGCCCTTTCTCACACACACACACACACACACACACACACACACACACACACACACACACACACACACACACACACTTACCCACGCCACGAACCTGCAATTTTATATTGACACGTTGTCAGGTACTCTGATGGAGCTCGGTATTTCGCCCATTGTGACGTCGAGCATGATCATGCAGCTCCTCGCCGGCGCCAAGCTGATTGACGTCAACCACAACAACCCGGACGACCAGGAGGTCTTCAACGGCGCGCAGAAGCTCTTTGGCATCATCATGACCGTGGGTCAGGCGGTGGTGTACGTCCTCTCCGGCATGTACGGCGAGCCCTCAAGCCTCGGCGCGGGCGTGTGCCTGCTCATTGTCATCCAGCTGGTCGTCGCCGGTATCATTGTGCTGCTGCTTGACGAGCTCCTGCAGAAGGGTTACGGCGTTGCCTCTGGCATCTCCCTCTTCATCGCCACCAACATTTGCGAGACGATCATCTGGAAGGCGCTCAGCCCCACCACCATCAACGCCGGCAACGGCACCGAGTTTGAGGGCGCCATCATTGCGCTCTTCCACCTCCTTGCCACCCGCTCCGACAAGGTGCGCGCCCTTCGCCAGGCCTTCTACCGCAGCCACCTGCCCAACCTCTCCAACCTCCTTGCCACCGTCCTCGTCTTCTGCGTCGTCATCTACTTCCAAGGCTTCAAGGTCATTGTCAACCTGAAGCACAAGACCGGCGCCACGCAGGAGTACCCCATCAAGCTCTTCTACACCTCGAACATCCCCATCATCCTCCAGAGCGCCCTCGTCTCCAACCTCTTCTTCCTCTCCCAGATGCTGCACTCCAAGTTCAGCAACAACTTCATTGTGCGCCTGCTCGGCTCGTGGCAGGTGAACGAGTACTCCCGCGGCCAGTCCGTCCCCGTGGGCGGCTTCTGCTACTACCTCTCCCCACCGACCTCCTTTGAGCAGCTCACCGCAGACCCGCTGCACACCTTCCTCTACATTGTCTTCATGCTTGGCACGTGCGCCCTCTTCTCCCGCCTGTGGATTGAGGTCTCTGGTGCGTCCACCGGCGACGTTGCCGACCGCCTCACCAAGCAGGGCTTCCACGTCCAGGGCTGGCGTCCCGAGAAGACCAAGGAGCGCCTCAGGTGGCACATCACCACCGCTGCCGCTTTCGGTGGCCTCTGCATTGGCGCCCTCTCCGTGTTTGCCGACTTCCTCGGCGCCATTGGCTCCGGCACCGGTATCCTCCTCGCCGTCTCCATCATCGACCAGATGTTTGAGTCGCTTGGCGGTGACAAGTCCAGCCGCAAGAAGGCAAAGTCCATCAAGGAGTAAGTCGCTCGCCCTCCTTTTTGTCTGTTGTGTTTTTGTTGTTGCTGCTGCTGCTGCTGTTGTCGTTGCTGTTGTCGTCGTCATGCTGCCCTATGTTCTTCGTTTGTTGTGGTGTCAGCATCGGTATCAGCGCCTTGTCTTACATGTGACGTGGTGGTGACCTTGCTTGTGCGCACTTCCTCTGCCACGTTTTGCTCACACATCACTGCTTGCTTGTTGTGCTTTGTTGTTTCGCAGCGTTTTTTCCACCCTGCGACAGATCTTCTAGAGATGTGACCTCGAAATGACCGGGGAGGGAAGACAATGCTTGTGTTGTTGGGTTGTGACGTGTGTGGGATCTGCTGGGTTTGGGCTGCGTGTGTTCCTGTGAACGTTCATCCCTGTGTGCGCGCCTGACCCTGTGTGTATGACTGGCTGTGCACTGTTATTGCGTTCCAATGTTCTGTGTGGTTGTGGGTGGTGGCGAGAGTGTGTGTGTGTATGTGTGGTTCGTGCCCCTGTTGTTGTGCTTGCTTAAGCATGATGTGTGTACATGTGTGTCGGTCGGTCTCTTCCGTTGGTTTCTTTCTGAGGCAGTGCAGTTCATGTTCTCAGCTTGCACTGCACCCAATACACAACAGAAGTGACAAGTCTTTTTACTTAAATGTCAATTGCTGACGACCTTCACCACACACACACACACACACACACACACACACACACACACACACACACACACCGCGCGCGCGCGTACATACTTGAACACGTGAAGAGGCATACAGCAGCTCTGCATGCACGATGACCACAACATTCATTCAGTCGTCAACACGGAAACAGCAACGCCTGCGTATCCCGCACATCATTCGTGTTGCCACGTCACGTCACAGCACAGCACACGATCATCGCCAAACATGTCACGTCTCATATCACTGAACACACGAGAGGTTAATAATGTTACAAGGCAACCGCCTCAATCATTGAAGCATCAAACGAATCAGACAAGAGCACGCAACTGGTTGGATGCGAGGCGCCTCCTTCGTATGTACAAAGAAAGGAACTGGAATGGGGCGAAGGAGGGGCTTGGGGATTTGAAACTTTGGGTTGTATGGAGGGCTGTGCTGTGATGTGAACTTTTCGATTGCGGCAATGGGACTCCTTGCGAAAGGAGGTGGTAGTGAGAGGTTGGTGCTCGGTCAGAGGGTGTTGGTCATTGGCGTCATAATTGGTTGTTGTGGAAGCTGCAGTGCTGTCTGCAAGCCGAACCGCGTGAAGCTATGTGCGCCTCCGCTACTCGGTGTCGCCGACAGTGGTGGAAGGTGCAACAGGACGCTGGGCCTGCAGCTCGAGCGTGCATGTGTCTGGATGGGGAATGCAGAATCCGGACGTGGCGTCAAGGACGCAAGCGTTGTCCACCTCGCACGCCGCGTCCCGGTAGTAGCACGTGAGGGACTCCTCCAGCGAGCACAGCGGGATGGACCGAGTCCGTGGCACCTGGCTTGGTGTCACGTTCGTGCTACCTGGCAATGTCGTGGAGGTTGTCAAGGGGATGGTGCTCGTTGATGTCGAAGATGAGGTGGATGTAGAAGAAAGGGAGGTGGTTGTGGTGGTTGTGGTGGTTGTGGTGGTTGTGGTGGTTGTGGTGGTTGTGGTGGTTGTGGTTGTTGTGGTTGTTGTGGTCGTTGTCGTCGTTGTGGTGGTCGTGGTGGTCGTTGTCGTTGTGGTGGTCGTGGTGGTCGTTGTGGTTGTGGTCGAAGTTGTGGTCGTTGTGGTCGTGGCTGCTGTGGTTGTGGTTGCTGCCATTGGCGTCGTTGGGTCGAGCACCACTGTGCAAACCCTCGGGTTTGGAATGCAGAACGCCGTATCAGCATCAATCACGCACTGACCGTCATTGGAGCACGATCCGCTGTCGCGGTAATAGCAGGTCAACACCGTCTGCAGCTGGCATGGCCCCACAGTACCCGTGGTTGTCGTGGTGGTTGTCGTTGTGGTGGTAGTAGTTGTTGTTGTTGTTGTGGTGGTGGTCGTCGTCGTCGTCGCCGTTGTAGTGGTGGTGGTGGTTGTGGTCGTTGTAGTTGTAGTTGTGGTTGGTGTGGTCGTGGTGGTCGTGGTTGTGTCATCGATTGGACTCCTGTAATCAAGCGTTGCAGGCAACGAAAGCAGCGAGATGACCATTACGCGTGAGATCGAGCACCATGCGCCACGCCAATGTGCCATAATCACCGTATGCGCCGGTACGTGCATGGACGAATGGGATTTGTGCGTGTGTGTGTGTGTGTGTGTATGCCATGGGAGTGCCTCTTACAATGTGGTGCGTGGCGCCAAGCGAAGCGACCTTGGCAAGATGAACGATGCACTGCATGTCCAAACACAATACAATGCAAGAGGTGCGTGCATGAGGTTACTCAGCCAGGAAGTGAGACAAACAGACAACGGCGAGCACACATCCACAAGTGGTGTGGGCGTGGTGAATGATATGCACATACTTTCAAACACACACACATCACAAAACCGTTAACACACGTCCACCCGCAGCATTGCAGGTTACAAGCTTAACGCGCGCACCTGGGTTGGCCAGCCTTGGCCTTGCCGCGGGGCGCATCCAGCAGGTTGCAGAACACACGCGTGTCCTCAAAATGGGCATAGAAGCCAGTGCACCTGAAGATACGCACAGTTAATGCCACCAGCAGCAATAACAACAACAAGTTGGTCAGAAGAAGCATTGCCACGCATCACAGTCCTGCAGACATAATCCTGAAAACATGAAGCATGGATATGCAAGTATGACTGACTCACTCTGGCGTGGTCCAGCAGGATGTAGAGCAGCGAGAGAGGACGAGGTCCTGGCTGGCCTCAATGTCAAAGTACATGCGGCGGATGGTGTTGGTGTCGGAGAAGGCATTGGCGAAACGGAAACCATCAAACACAAAGCGGCCACGGAACAGCGACAGGTAGTCGCCCGCAAGCGGTGTCGCTGTGCTCGTGGACGATGTTGTCCTAAGCAAACACAATGAACATGAGCGCGTTCCACGTGAAAGTAAGTCAGGGCGGACAAATGGGTATGCATGTGGGTGCGTGTGTAGAATGTGTGTGTATGTGTGTGTGTGTGTGTGTGTGTGTGTGTGTGTGTGCGTGTGTGTGTGTGTTTGCGTGTGCAGAAAGGAAGTGCAGGCGCAAGAGGGGTGGGTGTGTGCAGGCAAAGCAAAAGTGCGTGCGATGCTAACAACTTGCACACTAGCTACACCGTTGTGATGGATGTAACGGGTAAGCATTGCACACACTCCGCATCACTCACGTCAGGCAGGCCTGAAGCGCATCAGGGATGGCGGGCTGATGTTGCAGGTCGACGTGGATTCAAATCAATCAAAGGATCCACAGTGTGTGATGCATGGGCACAAGTGGACACGCGAGACATAGACATGCGTGAGAACAACCTGTAACACTCCTCAACAGTCCCGTGCTCTGAAATGGCAAAGGGTGCAAAGGGAACGGTGTGGAGTCATGTCTGGGCACCGCGACGAACAAGGCACGGTGAACGCCAAGCACTCACGAATTCAGTCATGCCGTAGATCTTCATGTAGCTGCGGCCTTCGTTGGTCGTGTGCTGAGCACCGCCTGTCGATGAGAAGTGGAGGGCAGGCAAAGAGGTCAAGAAGCTCAATCAATGAGACTTTGGTGCATGCACGCCGTTGGCACAGCATTATCACCCAACTGGGGTGATGTCAACAACACCACCGTTCCACACATTGTGCGTATCCCAAATGAAAGCACAGACGCGCCCAAGTACACACCAGTCGTGGCCAGGAACGTGCACGCATACTGGGTGGTGCCAACAGCGACGTAGAGGGCAACGCAATCCGCAACCTCCTCGCACGCGCATCTGCATTCGGCCTGTGGAGGGAGACGGTCAGACGCAAACGAGTGTTGTACCGGTGTATGAGCAGATGAACATCACAGTCGCATAAACGGATTGGGTGTACCCCCGCAAAGAACAAGGTTTGTTCGCACCAATGCGCCAACACCACCGAGACGCAGCCAACACGGGTACGCGACTGTCTCGTGTACCTCAAATGCGGCCAGCGTCGTTTCCTCTGGGATTGCAGTGAGGGGTTCACGGGCAAACGCCGGTGGGTAAAACGCGTTCCTCCACTGCAGCTGCTGGGAGTTTGGCTGGTCCGTCGCATATGCAAGCTCGTACTCGCCGCACTGGTCCTGGACCGTGGTGGACGTGGACACCACAAGCGAGGGCCACGTGGTCGTCGTGGTTGTCATTGTTGTCGTTGTTGTTGTTGTAGTCGTGGTCGTGGTAGTCGTGGTTGTGGTCGTGGTTGTTGTTGTGGTTGTTGTGGTTGTTGTGGTCGTGGTTGTTGTGGTTGTTGTGGTCGTGGTTGTTGTAGTTGTTGTGGTCGTGGTCGTGGTTGTGGTGGTTGTTGTTGTGGTGGTGGCCTGAATCTGGTCAAGGACAGAGGTCAGGGGCACTGCAATGTGTGTACGCAATGCATGCAATCGAACCAAGTCCAAATCGAACATTCACACGATAGAACGCAGACATGTCCATGAGAGGAGCGACTGTAAGGCCTGTGACATGTAAAACAGCAAGAGAACGGACCGCGCGCACACCACGCGGGCACACACACGCCACACAGGCGCGCTGACCATGAAAACACTGCACTGACCGTAGGCAATTGGGATGCCCGCCTGCCAAATGAGCTGGTCGTTGAGTGCCTTGAGGGCCAGCTCACCGGCATACTGCTCAAAGTTGCCTGCCAGCTGGATGTAAACCAACTGGCTGCTCAGGAGCTGCACGGTGATGCTACTGCCTGTTGGGTTGTTGGAGGGAAGGCCTGCGCTCTGGAGCAAGAGCTCAATCGCAGGGACATCAGACTCCGAGATTGGCGTGGGAAACTCAAGCACGAGCGCGGGGAACTGTTGTGGCGTCGAGGACTTGCACAGGAACGGGCGAGACTGGCTGCATGGCGCGTCGTTCCACTGACTCGACTGCACCAGCTTCAGACCCTGGGACAGGCAAGCCTCATTGCCACGGTAGTTGTTTGGCTCGCCAGGATACCACGCCTGGAAATCAAACGCCGTGCCGTCAATCCACTCAAACACGGTGGGGTCTTCGGCAGAGCGAGCCCCACCAAGCCACTGCACGGAATTGTCGGAATCGAGGAATGTCGCAGCAAACAGGTTCTCGTTGGCAGAGTGGATGGATGCGAGCTCGCCACCGTAGGCGCGGCATGTCTCCTGTGCCACATCAAACGGCTGGGGCCTGCGCACAAAAGCCTGGAAGAATGTGTCTGCATCAAACTGCAACCAGCCTGGAGCGTGTAAAGATGGCAGAGGGGTTGAGTGCGGGTGAGCATTGGCATGCGAGACGGAAAAGTTAGGTGTTTCGCCGTGTGTGGTGCCTTGCCAGAAAATGCAGAACGTGAGTTGAGTGAGTGGCTAGCGAGATGGGTGGTATTGTTGCACTGATGTGCCTACGCAGGGCGGGAGCACTCACGAACCTGGCACTTCTGGATTGCAAGAACCACACACAATGGGTGGTGTTGTTGGAGGTTGGACATCAATGACGGTTGTCTCTCTCGTCGTTGTCGTCGCTGCTGTGGTGGTGGTAGTGGCAGTGGTAGTGGTGGTGGTTGTTGTGGTTGTTGTTGGCATCATCGTGGTTGTTGTGGTTGTTGTTGGCATCATCGTGGTTGTTGTGGTTGTTGTTGGCATCATCGTGGTTGTTGTGGTCGTTGTTGGCATCATCGTGGTTGTTGTGGTCGTTGTTGGCATCATCGTGGTTGTTGTGGTCGTCGTTGGCATCATCGTGGTTGTTGTTGTGGACGTGGACGTGACCTGGTGCGTGGCAAACGTTGGTGTGCTTGTCGATGATGTGCTTGATGAAGACGAGGTTGACGATGAGGAGGCCGTGCTTGGGGTGAAGGTGGAACTGCTGCTGGTGGAAGCGCTGGAGGTTGCAACGCCACAACGCGTGCACACGACCCCCATTTCACTTGCACAGTCTGTGTCAAACCAGGTCCCGTCTGGGTTGATGGCCAGGCAAGCAGCCGTACCAGCAGCGCTGTTTGGCTCTCCTGTCGCATAGTTGGTATACTGGAATGGCTGTCCAGACACCCACTGGAAGTCGCTGTCGCCCGCTTGTCTTGTGCCGCCGATCCACGCGGTTCCCGTCGCCTCAAGAATGCTTGCGATTGCGGCATTCTGTGTGGCATCTTCGATGGTGGCCAGCTCATAAGAGAGGCTTGAGCAAACAAGCTGCGCACTCGAGAAGGAAAACTGCCCGACGAAGAGCCGTCCCTCGCAAACATCGGAGAACTCCACATAGCCATCTAATCGTCCAGCAAACACAGCGGGAGTCGTGCGTATGTGTGTGTGTGTGTGGCGGCAAGCACCATAGTAGCCATGGCGTGAGAGCTGGTTGGTTGTGATGGTGGCACTGGAAGCAAGTATTTGATTGAAGACAAGCGCCCTCGGGGGGGGGGGAGGCTGCCTCGGCACCCATGCGAACGTCGCATGCGTGCACTTGTGTCACAGGAATGTGCGTGTGTTCAACCCCCCTCCTCCACGCATCCACGCATGCATCCACGCATCCACGCATCCACGCATCCACGCATCCGCGCCCCCTCCTCCGCACACCTGCTTACATTCAGCAACTCACGTACCGTTTGCAGTTGTGGCCGCGGCTGCTGTGACGATCAGTGCAAGAGTAACAAGGGAATGGAAAGCACAAGAAGGTGTGTGAGCGTGCACATTGGACAGGAACAAGGGGTCGTGCATAAACTTCACAAACTTCACATGGGTATTGTGGCATCAGCACAAGCGTGTACGAACTTCCATCTAAGACCACGACCCCCGCGCCCTCACCCCTCAACAACGAGAACAGAGAACAGAGGGTGTGTTTGCATGCCGTGCAACCAGTGAGGCGCTCGATACATCGCATTCACAGTGAGCGCAGCTGTGTCTGCTTGCGCCAAGCAAACGACCTGTGTGTGTGTGCAGACACATGCGCAGGCGCACAACCGCGCACAGTGGTGCGTCACAACGTGCTGCGCAGTCGGTTCTCCCTCCCAGCCACCAGTGGAGGCCGCGTACCTTGCGTTGCAACATCAACGGGCGCAGCTGTGGCCACGCAGGCTGCCATCACGATGGCGGCGGTGGTCAACACCAGCAGCATCACGGCTGTCGCTTCCCCTGTCGGTCGCCTCTCTGCTGTTCAACCGCCTGTAAGCCACCGGGTGCCGTTGTCATTAATGCCACAATCACCACCCTTATTTTGCTCAAAGAAAATTCACACCGCACAGAACACCACAAACTGTACACCTGCAGATTGCAGACAAACATGCCTCGCAACACTGATGAATCGACAAGTCTTCATTGTCAGACAGAGTAAATGGGCCAGCAGGTAGGGAAAAGGTACACGGCGCTCTAGCTTGAACAAAGCATAACAGATCAAAGAGGGCAAAGGAGAAAGTGAGCATTGAGGACAACACAACACAGCACAGAACAAACCCTAGAACCAAGACCACAAACCCTAGAACCAAGACCACGACGCAGCACAAGCACAAAGCAGGGCGGAAGGCATGCGTGGTGGCTACGCATCGGAAGCAACAAGGCTGGCCACAAGCACAGTCTCAAGGTGCTTGATGACGGCCTTGAGATGCCCACGCAGCACTGCCGCCTGTTGCCGGGCCTCACTGTTGCTCTCCTTGCGCCGCTGCCGCGCACGCTGCCGGCGCTTGGCCATGCGGTGCCCGGCACGCCGTCGCATCTTCTTCAGCTCCTCCTGCACCCCGCCGTCAAACTGCCGCAGAAACGTGCGGAACTGCGAGCGCGACATGGCATAAAGCTGGTTCTCCTGAAAATACTGCAGCTGCTTCGCCTGCGTGTCGGCGTTCACGCCGTCGTCGTCGATGTGGTCAACGGCTTGGGTGCCGCAGCTGTGAGCGCTGTCCTCTTGCTTGGGCTGGTGAGCAGTGCCGCTGCTGCTGCTGGTGGTGGGCGTGGTGGCGGTGCAAGTGTTGGTGTTGCCTGCACTGGCAACCATAGTCACAGCTCCACTGGCGCTTGCATCAGCACACACGGCACGCGCTGCCTGGCCTGGTGTTGCCGTGCGGCTTGAAGCTGAAGCACCACCGTCGCCGGCACAATCAGTCGCTGGACCTGATGCGTGCATGAGTGACGCACTGTGGTGTGATGAGGGATAACATGTGCCACGTACAAGTGCCTGCGCCCCTGCTTGACCATGAACGCCAGGGGAGCACACGGTGGAACAAGCGTGCACGCCTTCCTCTTGCTTGATATGTTGTTGTTGTTGTTGTTGTTGTTGTTGTTGTTGTTGTTGTTGTTGTTGTTGTTGTTGTTGTTGTTGTTGTTGTTGTTGTTGTTGTTGTTGTTGTTGTTGTTGTTGTTGTTGTTGTTGTTGCTGCTGCTGCTGTTGCTGTTGTTGTTGCGTTAAGGCCGCGAGCGGGAAGATGGCCCCCACCACCTCATCTCGGTTCAGCAGGGCGAGGCCTGTGCCGGACGTGAGGTCGTTCCGCTCAAAGAAGTCCCACATGCACGCGCTAAACTCAGTCAGCAGGCGGTTCACGCGGGAAGATCGCTGCTGGGAAGCGCCATCGTCGTCATCGCTGCCCACCATGGATGCCGCACCGCTGTTGTCAAACTGCAGGCACAGCGGCAGCGCAATGCGGGCAATGGCGCTCCCTGCGTCCTGGCTCGTGCTGGTGTTGAAGTTGGCAGTGGTGTTAGCACTGGTGCTGGCAGTGGCGCTACCACCGGCCGTCCATGACAGCCCGCGACGCAGCTTACGTGGCGCACACGTTGCTGCTGGTGCTGACGACGACGCTGGGGGTGGCAACGGTGATGTCACACCTCCCGTGGCCACTCCCGCTGCCGCTGCATGCTTGTGCTCGCCGCCCGCATAAGTGTGGTGGCGGTGGTGCACACCGGGCGCTGCTGCTGTTGCTGCTGGGTGGTGCCTGGCACAGCTGCCGGAACTAAGGAATACACTGCTGTCATCGTCGTCGTCGTCGTCGTCGTCGTCATCATCGTCGTCGTCGTCGTCAACACCAGGAGCGTCACAATCACGATCACCAATCACATCGTCGCCACCGGAATCGTGGTCACCTGTGGTGCCACCATGGCTGGTGCCATTGGATGTACTGGTGGGCCCACGGCAGCGGCTGTGTTCATAAGCAACATCAAAACACGCACACGATGGCTGCCGCGGCGCAGCTGATGTTGTCTTGCCGCCAACCCTTGCTCGCTTGGCGCAATGTGCATCGGAGTCACTGCCTGGCGCGTGAAGTCGGTGCAACGGACAGTGCTGCTGGTGCTGGTGCGTGTATTGGTGCTGATGTTGGTGTTGGTGGGCACTGGTTGCAGTGGGCACGGGCACGTGTGAGACGTCAGAAGCTTCCGTCTTGACCTCGGGCGACGTGGGCGAGGTCGTGGATGCCGTACGCGAGAGGCTGAAGAGGATGCTGGCTGCCTCCAGGTCGATGGCCTCGTGCGTGCTCCGCTTGCTGCTGCTCTTCTTGCGCACCGCTGCCGATGCAGATGCAGCCTGCTTCGTCATTGCCTTGCTGGCTAGCTGCGAACCAGCGTTGCTCTGCGCGGTGGTCACCGGCACTGCAGACACGGGCATCGTGGCTGGTTCCGTCCCACCGTCGACACAAACGTTCCGTGCTGCGTGCGACATTGTGTGTGATGCGGTGTTCGTTGTTGTATGTCGCGCCATCAAGACTGAACGCGCACTTGTGGCTGTCGTTTGGGCTGGTGCCGCTGAAGTCGCCGCGGCTATGGCCGTGGCTGAGGTGATGACGGGTGCATCTGGCGACAAGGGTGATGACGGGTGTGGGGGCGTGTGCTTGGCACTTGCAGTGGCCGAGGAGTGCGCGGATGAAGAAGGGCGGGACGGCGCCTCCGATGACAGGGATTCCGTTCGCCGAATTTGCTGGCGTGGCTGGTGTATTCGGTGCTGTACCGGTTGGGTGGGTAGGCGAGTCAATGCATCCGAAGCAGGCTGCACTGGTGGCAGTGTTGTGGGTGATGCGGTGCTTTGAAGCAGCGTAGGTGGCTTGTGCGTGTCCGTCACACTTGGACTGGCGATTGGCTGCAATTGTACGTTGAACGCTGATGGCAATGTTACGTGGATTTTCGGCTGGGGACTCTGGTCCTCCTCGCCTTGGATTCGCTGCATCTGTATGTGTGCGTACGTGTATGTGTGCATATGTGTGTGCATATGTGTGTGTATGTGTGCGTGTGTATGTGTGCGTGTGTATGTGTGCGTGAGTGCGAGTCAAAACAGGAGCCAGTGAGTTGGTGTAATCGATTGGAAGCAGAGGGAACTCAAACATCAAACGCAGCACTCACGTCCACTGGTGATGGGGTGGTGATCTGAAGACGTGTGTCGAGCACACACCCAGACACGCTGGTGCACACCAACACACCACACGCACCCTTTGGTCGGTCGGATGACACACGGAAGGGGAAAGCGGTGACAAGAAAAGTAGGTGAAATCTTTAATAAATCGCAGTCTGCCCTGTCATCGTACAACTCATCGTGTCGTGACCGTGCCCGATACAACTGAACAAACCGCAGGAGGAGGACGAGGGCAACCAACCAACCAACCGAACATGGCGCCCGTGGACCTGTCAACCAACAGTGCAGACCTCGTCGCTGCGCGCGACTCTGTGTTTGCTGAGGGAGGCGACACAACTTGGTTGGTGCACGACACGTGCCTTTGGTTCACTCTACATGCTTTGGTGGATCGAATAGCAGCGCGAAGTTGCTTGTTTTGAAAATGGGGGAGGGCGGGGTTTGTGCTGTGTTGTGTTGTGCATTTGTGTTGAGTTGTGCGTTGTGCATTGTTTGTGTTTGTGAAGAACGTGTTGGTTGTGCTTGTACGCGCACGTGTGTGTGCGCACAAGCGTGTGTATGTGTGTATGTGTGTATAAAAGGGGGGGGGGGAGGTTCGCTTGATACTCACACGGCGGCTGCATGGTGGGGGGGGGGTGTTTTTTTTTTTGTGTGTGTGTGTTTGTTTGTGTTGTTCGGTTGTAGGGTGCTGTTTGGATACGAAAAGAAGTCAGACACGCTCAAGGTCGTTGAGACAGGAGGTGCGTCTTTCCGTCGCGCCTGCTTGTTGTGTGGTTGTGCTTTTGTGCTTTTGCTTGTGTAAGTTTGCTTGTGGTCGTGTGTTTGTGCGCGCGCGTGCGCTTGTTTGTGTTTGTGCTTTGCGTTTTCATTTCGTTTTGCCCACGCGCTCCCTCATTGCCTTTGTGCCCGGACAGACGACCTTGATGATTTCTTGGAGGAGTTTGAGGGCTCCAAGATCCAATACGGCTTTGCCAAAGTCAAGGATCCAAACCAAGGCATTGACAAATATGTCCTCATCAACTGGGTGCGTAGATTGCTGCGTGTGCGTGTGTGTGTGTGTGTGTGCCTATGTGTGTGTGTGTGTGTGTGTGCCTATGTGTGTGTGTACTTGTACCTGTGTGTCTGTGTGTGTCTGTGTGTGTGTCTGTGCGTGTGAGTATTACTGTGCGTAGTGTGTCTTGCATGGCTCGAAGCCTCGTCAAGCACCCTCATTTTCTAGCGCTTCCCCGCACATGCACAACCAATACGCCAGTTTGGGGAGGGTGCGCCGGAGCTTCGCAAGGGCGCATGCGCACAGCACGTTCGTGACGTCGAGCGGTTCTTCCACGTAAGTGCATGTGCAACCAGGCGCGTTTTGTGTCGCAATTGTCATCGTTTTGTCGTCCTTTCACACCGCCGTGTGCAAGCAAGCATGCGTACAACCACTCACTCACGATCACCCACTCACCGTCGCTTCACACACACACACACACACACACACACACACACACACACACACACACACACACACACACACACACACGCACGCACGCACGCACACACACACACACAGGCGCACGTAACCATCAACGCCCGCAACGAGACGGACCTGGACAAGGACGCCATCCTGAAGCTGGTGGCAAAGTCGTCCGGTGCCGCGTACAGCGTGCACAAGGAAACGCGTCGCAAGGAGTTTGCTGCAGAGCCATCAGGTGCGCCCTTGGTTGGCTCGTCAGGCATTCACGCCGCCCCCTTACACCACACGCCACCACCTGTGCAACGTGACAACATCATGCATCCATTCCATTGCCGCCTTGCTTGTTTGCTTTCTTCCTTGCCGCCTTGCTTGCTTCGTTCCTCCATTCCTTCGTTCATTCCTTGCTTGCTTGCTTTGCTTTTCAATCGGCCTTTCCATGCGTGCTCATCCACATTCAGCAAATGTTCATCTCACACCACTCACCACCACAACACTCACCACCACAACTCACCACTCGCCATCGTCATCATCGTGTGGTGGGTCCAGGCCCCGTGGGCACGTCGTACCAGAACGAGTTCCAGAAGCAAGGGCTTGCCTCGTCGGAGGACAGGTCTGCGTTCTGGCAGAAGCAGGAACAAGAGGACGCCGCGCGGCGGCAGGAGCAGCAGCAGCGCGAGGAGGAAGAGCAACGCGCTCGCGATGAACAGCGCCGGCAGGAGGAGGCCGAGAGAGAGGCCCGCATTGCACAGGTGAGCACCCGTGCGGGCACGGGCTGCTTAACTTGTACTTGGGCACGCCTTGTCTGTATGCTCCCTGGTGTGTGTATGCGTGCCTGCATGCATGGAGCGTACCCACACAAAAAACACACCTCATCAAGAGAGCAGCAGCACGCACAGCGCACTCCCGAGCGTGTTTGACATCTCACCGCACATCACATCACCTCGCCGTCTCCTGCCATGACACGGCTTGACAGGAGAAGGCAGCCGAACCAGAGCCACAGCCTGAGCCACAGCCTGTCCCTGAGCCTGAGCCGGTGCCTGAGCCGGTGCCTGAACCTGTTGTGGTGGGTTGGCCCATGCATGTGTGCATGTGCATGCCTCGCCTGTCTCGTTCACCAATTGTGCTGTTCTTCCATGTGCTCACTCACCATCCTTTTCATCACCACCATGACCACCACCATGGTGACCATTGTCAGGAGCAGGCCGTTGAGCCGGAGCAAGAGCAGCAGCAGGCGGCAGAGGGCGGTGGTGGCCTTCGCGCCCGCGCCCTTTACGACTACCAGGCAGACGAGGAAGGCGAGCTGACGTTTGACCCGGGCGACATCATCACGGACATTGAGCAGATTGACGAGGGCTGGTGGCAGGGCGCGTGCAACGGCCAGTTTGGCCTCTTCCCCGCCAACTACGTCGAGCTCATCTGACACCGGCTCCTTTTGTTGTGCCGTGTGGCTAAAGTCTGTACGTTGTTGTTGCGTGCATGCGCTTGTTTGGTTCTCAAAGCTGTTGTTGTTGTGTGTGTGTGTGTGTACCACTGACGTCAAGATCACTGTTACAATTGTGTGCGTGCTGCTCCTTGCTGTTTGGTTCGTTGCATTGTCGTCTCGCAAGTGTGTCGCCATTACACCATGCCGATGCTGATGTGTTGAAAGCAATCTCACACTATGACACGCTCACAATCACACACCACAACAAACCTAGCAATATGAGTCTTCAACACACATAGATACGATGCAGCAGGTGCATCACAAAGATCACACACAGACACACACAAGCACACACAGACACACACACACAAGCACGCACGCACGCACGCACACACAAGCACGCACGCACGCACGCACGCACACACACACACACACACACAAAACATGGGGGGTCAGACATCAGAGCACAGGTTTGAGGCAATGTCCAGCTCAAACAGGGCCTCTGTCAAGCCGCGCTGCGCGTGTGTGTCGTCGTTGTCCCCATTGCCCGCTCCTCGCAGTGCTGGTGTCTGCAGCAGCGTGTCAAAGTACGCGTCGATGTCGCTCGTGCCTGCAGGCACGGATATGGTGGGGAAGGAGGAGGAGTTGGAAGAAGACAAAGGGTTGCAGCAGCATATTCAAACAAGAGGAGAGGGCTTCGTGAGCGGAAATGGCACACAAGTACACACATTCATCTGCACGTTCACACATACAAAGTGCACACACACACACAGACGTACAAAGTGCACACACACACCTACACATACCTGGTGACTTTTGTCCTGTGTCTTCCTTGCTCTGCTTCAGTGTATCATTCTCTGAGCGCTCACCATCATCACCATCACCATCATCACCATCATCACCATCACCATCACCGTCACCATTATCACCACCACCAGCAGTGGTGGCCTGGTGCGTCTGCTGGGCGATGAGCGAGTCAATCTGCTGCAGCCATGCGTCGTGTCCGCTCAGCACAACACCACCACGCGCGCCCACAGCACCGATACCATCACTGTCGCTGCTGCCGTGTCGACGCCGCCCTGGCCCGCACTGTTGCTGCTGTTGCTCCTGCCGCTCCTCGTCGTCGACTCTGTGGTGGCGGCGCTGGTGCTCGCGATTGTTGTCGGTTGCGGCGTGCTGCTGTGCACGGGCAACAGCCACGCCATCAAAGGCGTCGGCACCATCACCACCACCACCACCGCAGCTGCTCCCGCTGACGCTGCGCGCAAGTGGATGGCGATGGTGGTGATGGGGATCGTGTGTTGCCGACGCGTGTGCATGACGGTTTGCGCCAGTGCGACCGCTGCCAGTGCTGGCTCTCCTGTTGTTGCGAGTGCTGATGTTGTGGCTGCTGCTGCTGCTGCTGCTGCTGCTGCTGCTGCTGCTGTTGTGCCTGGCATCATGGTGATTGCAGCTGCCATGACCCCCATCTTCGTCTTCGCGCACGTGCGGGAGCGGGGATGGCGATGAGCTGTTGTGTCCATCTGAGGCTTGCTCAAACAGATAGAAGCTGGACGGCCGCTGTGGAAATACGGACGCGTCTTCCTGTGACACATATGCATCGCTCGTTTGCCACTCAATCTCATCTTTCTTCTTCTTCTGTCTGCTCACATACGCATGGGCATGTGCGTGCGTGTTTGTTGTTGTTTGTGTGTGTGTTTGTTTGTTTGTTTGTTTGTTTGTTTGTTTGTTTGTTTGTTTGTGTGAGCAAAAGTGTGCACATGCAAGAGCATTGAGGTGAACACGGCCACCTTTTTCACCAAAAGCCATCTCATACACATACGCACACGCACGCACACACACGCACACACGCACGCACGCACATGAACGAACCGCTGCTTGTGGTGCTTGGGAGGTTCGGCGAATCCCATGTCGTTCGTGGTTAAGGCGTGTGCAAGGGTCTTGATGGAGAACGAGTGTGCTCGTAATCGCGCGTCTGCGATGGCTGTTGAGTTGGTGCGAAGACGCACGCCACCGCCATCGCCGTCCATCGCCTCGTTCCTTCGATCCAATGGAGCACCAAGACTTGTGGTTTGACAGCGTGGCCGCATCTCACCAGTGTGTGGGTCACCGAAGCCCCACACTGGCGGGCTGTCGTGTGGGACATGTGCTTCTGCGGCAGCGTCATCATCGCCTCCTTCAAATCGGTGGCGGCCGTGGTTGCTTACGGATGGGCTGGTGCCGGCAGCGACAGCATCTTTCTTGCTGTTCCTGTGCTTGCTTCGCCTCCACCCCCGATTTTTCCCGCCTGTCCGTGACTTATGCGTGCTTGTGCCCGCTGGTGCATCCTCCGACGCCGTGCGCTTCCACCTAGCAAACACAACCGACAACGAGCGCCTGCGCTGCAGCGGCGCCTGCTCTTGTTGTTGTTGGTGTGGTTGGTGTGGTTGGTGTGGTTGTGATTGCTGTACGTGTGCCTGTAAGTGTTTGCTGCTGCTGCTGCTGCTGTTGTTGTTGTTGTTGTTGTGGACGCTGCTGGCCTGATGCGCCGCACTGCCGTCCCCTGCCATTGTATGGCTTCGGTGCCGTGCACCGTGCATTGCCTCGTTGTTCATGCCAACCCCATATGCCATCGCAGCAGCATCATCCCCCCTCCTTGGTTCGCCCCGTGCCCTGCTGGCGTTGGCACCCATGTCGCGTGGTGTTGGTGTGGTGGGTGTTGTTCTTGTTGTTGTTCTGTGGCACAGCACGCCACGCCTGTTGTTGAGAAATATAGGAAAATATCGCGAATTTGCGTTGCCAAGCTGAGCGCACAACAACACCACCACGCCACACAACACCCCCCACTTTCCTTTCCCTTCCTGCCAACCACAGCAGCTGCAGCGCGCAAACCAAAGCCGACACTGCTCTGATTGACCTGATCTGACCTGAGCATAAGGAAGACGACGACGGCTCGTGTGTGATCTCTGTGAAGCGTTTTGGTTTGAGCTACCCTCCCTCCCTGTTGCTGGATCGAGAGCATTAACACATCAACACAACCTGCATCATGTCGAGAAGTGGACGTGGGGAAGACAATCTGGACGATTTCGACGAGGATGCAGTGCGCATCGGCGTCGTTCGCGAAACCATGCTCACCAACCCACTGCTTGTCAAGGTGCTGTCAACACACGCAATCATGCACACGCTCACATACACGCACACACGCACACACGCACACACACGCACACACACACGCTCACCCTGTCTCACATGCACAAACACACACGCGAGAGCACAACCTCAATCACAAGACCCAGATCCGAGAGACGCGCGCGTGTGTCTGTTGCACAATCAGTGATCTCAGAACGTGATCTCACATCCCCTGGTTGGTGTATGTGTGTGTGTGTGTGTGATGGCTTTGGTCTTTGCTATTGCTTTCTCCCTGATGTGCTGGATGGAGCAGGCGCCCCTGGGCAAGCCCAAGATGACTACGCGCAACCCCAACGAAGTGTACGGCGTCAAGTCAAAGAAGGTTCGATTGCGTTGTGGAAGTGGTGTGCACAACATGGGCAACGTGTGAATCTCAGCATCAGAGAGCAGTGAGGGTGCAGTGGTTGAACGCTTTTGGCACGCTATCGACGTAATTACGAGTGAAGGGGACCTTGCCATGCAATGCGTGCCGTGCCGCAACGTGACCCTGCTCAACAAGCGAGCACGCACATTTGCTCACTCATTTCTGGGCCGGTTTGTCATCATACGTACATCCTTGGGCTGCGCTTGTGGATATTGCAGGAGGACGGTGGCACAGCAGCCATCTTTCACGAGCGCCTGAGCACTCCTCTGGAGAGCGAGGCAGCACGACGCGCCAAGGAGCGCAACCCGCTCCTCTTCAAGGTGAGGTCATTGTATGTGTGTGTGTGTGTGTGTGTGTGTGTGTGTGTGTGTGTGTGTGTGTGTGTGTGTGTGAATTGGGGGGGGGGGGGTATTTGTGATCGCGTGTGTATTTGTGATAGCATGTGCTTGAATGTAGTCATATGTGTGAGTTTTATTGGGCCATACACCAGTAGCAAGTCTCACGCTCTTGTCTGTCTCCCTCACCTCCCATGTGCGTGTGCAGTCGGACGTTGGTAAGGCGCGCAAGCCGCTGTCTGAGGGTGTGGAGGATATGGTGCACGGCAGCAAGACCGTCAAGGACGCCGGCGTCTCCGAAAGTATGTTGTTGGTTGGTGGGGCGATGCAGTGTGCATGTGCATTTGTGAATGGGAGTTTGGAGGGGGGGGGGGTTGTGGTGCTGGGGAAGTGCGTTGTGTGAGCTTTGGTTTGAGTGATGTAACTAGGGCTCATGACTATGCTTTGTCAACTTGCCTTCTTGCAGCCATTTCAAAGTGGTGGGAGTCCGACAAGAAGTCGCAACGCAGGCGCGAGGTGCTGCACATTTGACTCTGTGTGTGTGTGTGTGTGGGGGGGGGGGCTGCCGCAATCGAAGCAGTGCGGCCTCTTCCGGCTTTCAAATGCAAAACAAACAAACTCACAACACACACACACACTTGTGCACGTGCAACAGCCTGAAGTCGGCCGGGCCAAGCCGCCCCTGTCTGCCAGCACCGCTGATAAAGTGCACGGTCTCAAGCACAAGCACGAGGTGGGCTGTGCACACACTGTCGTGGTTGTGGTGGTGATGCTGCTTCGTGTCGTGGCTGCCTGCGGTGTGGATTGATGTAATTTGCAGCCTCGTCATGTGTTTGAATGGCACATGCACTTAAAGCGCACTCATGCGTGTGTATGCGAATGCTTCTGTCACCAGGATGGGGGTGCAGGGCAGGTGCTGTCGTCGTGGGTGGCCACAGACTCTCCCCGCCGCCAGACAACAAACCCGCTCCTCATCAAGGTGCAGCAGCACAGCAACTGTTTTCCCCGTGGGCGCGCGCGCGTGTGTGTATGTGTGTCTGTGTGTCTGTGTGTGTGTGTGTGTGTGTGTGTGTGTGTGTGTGTGTGTGTGGCATGAAGGCGTTTCCCGTCTAGTCAGCTCGCCGTCGCCTGCTTTTGTTCCGCGTTCTCGTGGCCTCATCCAACCAACCAACCAACCAACCCCCACACATACACAAAACCACTCGCGTGTGCGTCGGCGTATTGCATCAGGCGGACGTTGGCGCTGCGAAACACACGCTGGACGCCGGCATCAAGGAGCGCGTGCACGGGAAGAAGAGCACAGACCCGAAGATCGAGGGCGGCGTCGTTGGTGGTGAGTCACCACACACATTTACAAAGTGCATGCACACACACACCGAGAACACACACACACACACACGCCGAGAACACGTGCCCGAATAACTCGTGTGGCCATGGTCGAGTGCACACATGTGCACATTCAAAGGTGTATAGTTGACATGCCCGTCCTGCATATATATATGTGTGTGTGTGTGTGTGTGTGTGTGTGTGTGTGTGTGTGTGTGTGTGTGTGGACAGCGATGAGCAACTGGAACCGGCCGGACACGCACGACGCCAACGCGCGCTTCAACCAGTCGTCAAAGCTCTATCGCGTACGACCTCTCACGCCATGCATCAATCGCTTCCACTGTTGTATTTGTGCCTGTGTGCACCTGCGCGCGCGCGCGCGTGTGTGTGTGTGTGTGTGTGTGTGTTTCTTTTCATTCGTTGTTCAACCTATGTTGCCGAAACTGCCAACCTCCTCCCACCACCAGCTCTTCAACCCACCTCATCTATCCCTCACCCCGCGCTCCCTTACCACCCCACCCTCCATACCATCCCCCGCTGCCACGCTGCCACGCTGCAGGCCGAGCTCGGCCGTGCGCGACCGCCGGTGTCATCACGTGCGGATACCGTTGTCCACGGAAAGACAAATCCCCGCGACGTGCCCGGCGCAAAGGATGGTGCGATGACAACAAGTGCTCATGGTCGCTCGTGCTCACCTGCTTGGTGGAGTGTGTCTTGCATCTTTTTGCACCTCAGTAATTGCATTCCTTCTTCTCACCACGCACCACGCACCACCACCACCACCACCATCACCATTACCATCACCATAACTGCAGCACTGTCGAACTGGAACCCGAACACGCCGTCACACCCGCGCCGCCACCAGGCGGAGGTGCCCAAGGACGTCGCGTTTGGGAAGCCCTCACAGTACGTCCGCACCCTGCCTTGACCTCACGCAAGAAGATGATGATGATGATGATGATGATGATGATGATGATGATGATGATGATGATGATGATGATGAAGAAGAAGAACAACAACAACAACAACAACAACAACAACAACAACAACAACAACAACAACAACAACAACAACTTAAACAACAACAACAACAACAACAACAACAACAACAACAACAACTTAAACAACAACAACAACTTAAACAACAACAACCGTGCCATGCGCCTCTTTTACATTCAAACACCATACCTCACGACTCCATTCACCCTTTTGCCCCCCCCCCCCGCCCCAAACGTCTCCAAACTGCAGGAAGAGCGAGGGCCTGTCTGATCTGATTCGCCACAACTACGGCAAGAAGTGGCTCAAGGACCAACTTGCCAAGCAGACCCAGTCCCTCCACATCGACACCGCCCAGCAGTCCTGAGTCAGATGTGTCTGTCCCTTTGCTCACGTATATCGTGCTCGTAGCCCGTGTGTGCGTGCACGTGCGTATGTGTTTGTGTGTGTGTTTTGTGTCAGGGCTTGATGTGTGCCATTTCACGCCACAAGACAGTGGTTATGCTTGTGTGTGTGTGTGTGTGTTTTCTTTCTCTGTCTCTCTTTTGGTCGCTTATATACCCGAGCACCACCTGCTCGCTGAACCACAAGTACAATGCGGTGGTGACTTTGTGTATTGCCTTCCTTCGGTCCTCCCCTTTTCCTCCTTGCTTGCTTCACTCTTCGTGTATGCTTGGTTGATTGACCGTTGTGTGTGCATGTGCATGTGTGTGTTCCGCTGTAGCACTGTGCTGTAGTGTTCTGTGCGTTGCTGCGTTGCTTCATTGTTTCATTACTGCATTCCTTCCTTACTCCCTCTTCCTTTCTTTGCCTCCTCGTGTTAAGCAATCACTGCAACACAAACCGCTTGAGGCACTGCCCATCGCGCGCACAGGCCAGCAAACCATACACTACACAAGCATTCAGCAAGAGGGACAGACACACGAGAAACGACAGCAAACAGCTCGCACGTGACGATGCTGTCCACAAGAACAGGAACCAAGCACTTCACATCATACCGCACCACACTACAATAATCACTCACGGTCACTCACGTTCATGTCACAGACTCCCACCTTCTCTTCCCCTCCGCAACACAACACACACACTCTCTCTCATTCTTCCTCTTTCACACACGCGCGCGCTCATTCTCCCTCGCTCCAACATGCCCATTCAGCAACAACAGGCGTCTCGAGCTAGTTGCCTGCTGGCTGCTGCTGTGGCTGCTGCTGTTGTTGTGCTGGTGTGGTTGAAGCCGTGGTTGCCGTTGAGACGGGCACGGGCCGGTCACCAAGCTCCAGGAAGTTGAACGGCTGCTTTGCGTAGTTGAATAGAACAGAGAGGTTGCCCGAGTCTGTTCGGCGCTGCAGGCCACGATAGAGCAGCACGCTTGCCAGCTCCCGGTCGGTCAGGTTGAGCGAGCGCTGGAGTGCAATGTACTCCGCAGCGTGCGCGCGCGTGTCTGCGCGGATATCTGCCGCCCGCCCGCGACCGCGCAGCTCCGTGGCCGCTGCGGTGAAGTTGGACTGCAGCTGCGTGCGGAACACCTGCAAGGTGCTGTTGATGGCGGACGAGACAAGCGCCTCCACTGCGCGCGTCTGGTTGGTCAGTGCCAGCTGCACGTCGCGCGTGCGGTTGGCGAGGGCACGCCGCACCTCGCCCTCCGCCCGCACAACCACGTTCTGGCGCTCTGTCTCCGACAGCGTCTGGTTTGCAGATGCCTCGCGGTGCACCTGCTGCACTAGAAACTCGCGGCGGGCAATGGTCTCGTCGAGCTGCGTGCGTGCGCGGATGAGGCGGCCAATGCGGTCGGACTCCGCCTGTATCTGCGCCTGCTGTGCAGCCGTGCGAGCCTCTGTCATCAGGCGCTGCTGCTCGAGCTCGGCCGTGACGGTTCGGGACATGGCTTCGCGCAGCAGCTTGTTCCGGTTGGCCTCTGCAGCGATGCTCGCCGTCTCAAGCTCTCGGTTCTCCTCAATCTCAATCAGCGTCACATTCTCCGACGCAACAATCTGTGCAACTGCCATCATGTGCATGTGTATTGTGTGTATGTGTGTGTGTGTTGTGTCGATGGGTGAGGAGAGGAATAGCAATGGCATGATGAGGACAGTGTTGCATACACGACACGCATGTGGCACACTGAACAACAGCAACAACAACAGCAGCAGGGCGCATACATCACCCACGCACGAAACCACACACCATACACGCAACACATGACCACACGCTACACACACATCACACATCACAACACACATTATACACCACACGCATGCACAACAGCAAGCAACAGCAACAGCAACAGCAACAGCAACAGCAACAGTAACAGCAACAGCAACAGCAGCAGGTAACTCACGCCTCCTGTCCTCGACTTCCTGGAACTTCTGCTCGAAGGGCGTGTAGACCTGGATATGCAAGAGGTTGACTTGGATGATGGAGACAAACACCCCGTCTTGCTCGCGCAGCACCGTCTGCAGCCGCTGCTGGATGGCCAGCGCAATGCTTGCGCGGCTGCCCGTGAGAAACTCAGTGACGCCAAACTGGCTCGCCACGTTGCGCACCTCTGCGCGCGCTGTTCGCAAAAGCCGGTCCTCGGGCCGGTCGTAGCCAACACGCAACACCGTCTCTGCAATGCGCTCCGGGATGTAGCGGAACTCAATGTCCAGTTCGAGCGTCAGCGTGAGCCCCTCCACGCTGCGCGCCTCGATTGTGCTCTGCAGGCCCGTCTGCTCCTCCTCGAAGATGAGGTGCTGTGTGGCTCTGGACAGGCAGAACTTCTGGGCGCCGGGCCCGAGAAAGACAATGCCGGATGTTTCCTTTGTGATGATGCGGTTGCCGTCCTGGTAGAAGATTTGGCACGCCTCGTCGTCGTTGACGCGGGTGATGGAGCTGACGATGACGGCGATCAGGACAATCGCAGCCACGCCGAGCGTCACCAGCGCCGCAATCGTCGCTGGCTTCATGGTTCACAAGCACTGTGTGTGTGTGTTGTGTGTGTGTCTGTGTGTCTGTGTGTGTGTGTGTGTGCGATGGAAAGGAGCACACGCTATTCGACAAGATCTGAACGTGATGTGCGAGGGGAAAATGAATGACACGGTTGCAACAAAGGCCAATGTGAATGTGTGGATCAAATGAGTTGTGACATGTGAGTTGTGACATGTAAGCAGCACTTCAGCTCTTCAGTCCTCCCTTTGCCCATCACCCAGGTCATCAGCACTTCACATTAGCACAGCGTAACACACCAAAAGACAGCCGAAGGAAAGAGACGCCTCTCAACCAACAGCAGTAAGCAAGCACCTTGTTTGGTGGGCGTGGAGCGCTCCTTGATCGAATGACGCGAGATCGTGGTGCGTTGTGAGATAATTATTATATGTCTTCTACCATTTTTCTACGGCAAACACAACAAACGGTGGTCGGACCTGGATATTGTGGTCAGTGCGTATGTTGCTGTTGTGAGCGTGCTGTGTGTGTGTGTGTGTGTGTGTGTGTGTGTGTGTGTGTGTGTGTGTGTGTGTGTGTGTGTGTGTGTGTGTGTGTGCGTGTGTGCGTGTGTGCGTATGTGTGTGTGTATGTGTATGTATATGTGTGTGCGTGCGTGTGTGTGCGTGTGTGTCGAGTTATGCAACGAGCAAAACGCAAAGTGTCTTGCTCTTTCAACACAAACACCACGACATTTGCGAGGTGGATGCCATTGGGTTGTGACATTTTCTTCACCCTCCATCCACCTTCACACACCCTCGACCCATCGATCCATCTTCACACACAGTTGATCTGCCATCGCAAGTCAACTTCCCCGTCTTGAATTGCTGCTGCTTCAGTCTTTCATCATCACTTCCCCTGCTGTCCGGGTGTGAGCATGGAATGGGAACAGCACGACATTGAATTGACACACGAAGCCAGCCGCCCACAAACACACACCCAGCCCACATCTGAGACCGCCCGGCCCACCACCGCCACCTGCTCCTTATCGGACTCAACGCAAGCAACAGCGGCCTCCTTTGCGTCCATCGGCGAGCAAGGGGCCGTCCAAGAAACGTCCCTGCAGTTCTACCTCGCCAGTTCGGAGCTCGGCGAGACCTCAACCGTCGACAGCGCAGAGTATCTGTCCATTGTCGGCGCTCAAACAACAGCCGGTGCAGCATCATCATCATCAACAACAGCAACAACCAGCAACAACAGCAGCAGGAACACGGCAACAGCAACAACAACAACAGCAACAACAACAGCAGCAGCGCCAGAGCCGCAGCCAGATCAGTTCGCCGAGACAAACAACAAACCCAAGGCAACCATGAGCGAGAGCTGGTGGGAAGACGAATCACGCCGCAAGGTGCTGTGGGGAGTTGGCATCGTCCTGGGCGCATTCGTTGTTATTGGCCTGCCCATCCTCTTCTCCAGCAGCCAGACTGTCGCCTTTGACGAGGTTGCCGTGCTGATTGACAACTCTGGCAACGTAGACCGAGCAGTTGGGCCAGGCCGGTACTTTGCTGGGCCCGCTGGTCGCGCCATCAAGTTTCCGCGCTTCGATCGCACCATCGAGTACACCAGCGGCAACGGCGATGCCATCAATGTGCGCGTCCAGGACGGCCAAATCAGTGCGTTTGTGCGTTTGTTTGTATGTGCCTGTTTGTTTGCGTGATTCAGTGTATGATTCAGTGTGTGTGTGTGTGTGTGTTCGATTCAGTGTGTGTTCGATTCAGTGTATGCGTGTGTGTATTTGTGTCTGTACACTTGCGTATGTGTCGCACACCGTTGTTGCTTTTGCATGTGTCCACCACCACCGTGGCCTGTCCACTTGTGACCGACGATTTCTCACCTCCATTTGTCACCACCACGACAACCTTGTTCTGCAACTCCACCCACATTCCCCTCCTCGCACCCTCTCGTTTGTGCTGTGCAACGATCAGTTTTGCTTGATTTGTCGTTCCAGTTCCACATTCCGCAGGAGTATCTGGTGGACATTTACCGCATCCACAAGACGGGCTTTGAGAGCACCTTGCGTGGCCTGGCCCGCGGCATCTTGCGTGATGTCGCCGCCAGCTATCCTTCCGAGACGTTTTACCAGAACCGCACGCAGGTCGAGGCCGAAATGCGCGCGCGCATGGAGCAGGAGGGCCGGGAGAGGTTCATTGAGATCACCGGCTTCCAGATCCGCAACGTGATTCTGCCGTCGCAGTTGAACCAGAGACTGATTGACGTGGAGATCTCCAAGCAGGACGCACGCCTTCGCCAGGAGGAGCTGGCACTCGATCGCATCAACGCCGAGGCAGCAGCAACGCAGCTGCGGCTGTCGACCGAGCGCACGCGCTACATCACCGAATACGAGCAGCAGACGGCGGTACTGGTGGCCGAGGAGGAGCAGCGCAGGCGCCGCATCGAGCAGCGCACAAACCAGTACGTCACGCCACGCCATGCTTGTTTGGTTTTGTGTGTGTGTGTGTGTGTGTGTGTGTGTGTGTGTGTGTGTGTGTGTGTGTGTGTGTGTGTGTTTTGAGTGCACCTTATCTGCCTGCCGGTCTGGCTCAGTCAGCGACGTCCTCCCCTCTGGTGCTTCTCGTGCCCCATCCTCAATCACACACAACACGAACCACCCACCCACCCCCGGCCGCATTGCGTGCAGGCTGTTGACGGAGCTGCAGGAGGAGAGCCGGCGCAACGTGTCGCTGTACGAGCGGGAGACAGACGTCCTTGAGGAGTCGTATGCGCTGCAGACGTCGCTCGAGACAGAGGAGACGCGCCGGCAGGTGGACCGGGTCCGATACGAGAGCGAGACAAATCTCACCGTGTACCGTCAGGAGACGGAGAACGTGCGGCTTGGCTACGATGAGCAGATTGCGCTGATTGATGAGCAGACGCGGCAGAATGTCACGCGCATCCAGGCCGATACGCAGCGGGAAGTGGAGGCGTTTGAGTACAAGGTCGCGCTGGCTGTGCTTGAGGCGCAGGTGCAGGCGCAGGTGCTGGTGGCCAAGGTGCGGGAGGACGCGGCTGTGCTGCAGGCTGACGCCATGGGCGAGGCCCTCAGCCAGCTGCCGCCGTCGGCGTACCTGGCAGAGACATATGCAAACAGCACCATGCCATATGTCACCTACATGGACGAGAGCCTGGACAACCTCCTCGGCCTCGCCGTGGGCGGTGCGTCATCGTTTGCCGCAGCCAACTCCACAGCAGTGCCGTGAGCTCTTGTGTGTGTGCGTATGTGTGTGTGTATGTATATGTGTGTGTATGTATATGTGTGTGTGTGTCTTTGCATGTGTGTGCGTGCGTGTGTGCGTGCGTGCGTTTTTGCATGTGTGTGTGTCTTTGCATGTGTGTACGCTTATTGTGTGTTGGTGGCAGCTTTACACTCCTCCATAATGTAACATTATATTACATTATACTGTTCATCATCCTCCAACAAGAAACCTACTCCCAGCACACCCCCGCGAGATTGCAAAGAAGAAGGCGAAGAGCACACGGGAGCACGGGGAGAAGGAAGGAGGGGCGTGTACTGCACAGCATTGTGTTTGCACCCACTGTCGCATCAGAAGAACCGCTGGGCGTGTTTCATCATTATTGTCGCATCAAATCTTTCTTTTGCACCAACAACCAGCAACGATGGAAGCGCGAACTGCAACACCAACAACAGCAACAGCAACAACAACACCTGCACCAACAGCAACACCACAGCAGTCCACGATAGCCATGCCCAGCTCCTTTGACAAGAAACAGAGCGAGGCCAAGGAGGCTGAGAAGGAGACCAAGGCGAAGCAGCATGCAGTTGCTGAAACGGTTGAGGACGATGACGAGGATGACGAGGATGACGATGACCTTGATGATGACGAGGAAGTGGACGAGGAGTTCAGGATTGTCAGCAACGCATTGACACACCATGGGTGCTCCATGGACGACCTTTGGAACATTGGCACTGACATGACGTTTAAGGAGAATGACAGCGACGACGAACATACCAGTGCCACTTCTGGCAGGAGAGGTGCACCTGACACAAAGGCAGCGGGCGTGGGATCCACCGCATCAAGGACAGACGCAACCTCAAGCGGAGACTTGTCTGCAAGCAGTGCCGCCGCCAGCAGCAAGGGCAAGCACGGCGCTGGCACAAGCTCCGGCAAGCGAAATGCCTCAGCCTCATCCTCATCCAACGAGCATCCGGCAAAGCGCGGCATGCACACGGGAGCGCGGGCCAGCAGTGGCAGTACCACCAACACTGCCAGCAGCATTACCATTGACTCGGACAGTGATGACAGCGACGATGAAGACTTGACGGCAGAAGAGCGTGCCAAAATGGCACAGCTCACCCATGCCTATCGCCAGCAACACAACTACGCAGCCTTCTACGCGAGGTGTGTGATTGTGTGTATGTGTGTGTGGGGGGGATTGTGTGTGTGTGTAGCAAGAGAGAGAGAGAGTGTGTGTGTGTGTGTGTGTGTGTTGTATGTGTGTAGGCATCCAGCCGGCCTCGTGTTCGCAGTGCACGCTTTGTGCTCGTGTTGCCTGTGTTGGTGGGGGTGTCACGCTGACGTTGTATGTCGCTGGCTTGTGCGTTTGGGACAATGCCCATTGCTTCTTCAACAGGGCGGAGCTGGAAGTGTTGAAGCAGCGGCAAGCATTGCAGCAAGCACAGGAGGCGCGCGAGCTGCAAGCACAAGACAGTACGTGCCAGAGTTTGAGTGTGATGGTGGCAGTGGGCAAGGGCATCCGTCGGCGTGTCTTTTCTGAGCATATGTGCTGTTCCACATCCATTGTGAATGGAAGGTCAATCCCGCCACCACTAATTCATGTTGCTTTGCTCTGCGGCTGCTCCTTGATTGC